GGATTTTTGTCCTTCGCGTAGGTCAATAAGCGTTGCGAGCCGGAATTCAAGTCAAGGAGCATTTGGGGAGCAGCGGCCAATCACCAGAGAGTCACATTTTCACTAGTAGTAATAGTTCATCCCTAGTTTGCATGATAAGTGCTCATTAGCATATTAGTAAATAAACATGGAATGATCAATTTTCATGGATGTACTCGATTATTCCAAAAATCTAGAACTACTTGATGTGTAATATATTTATGCTTCCGCAATCTATGGACTTTAATAAAATATGTTAGTATTCTTCTTTAAAATTAACTAAAAGTATAAATAATAAAGAAATAGTTAGTTAGTCAATGCTTTGGTGCTTCGGCACTGCGGGTAGCGCTCCCTGCCTGATCCGTCTGAGCCGGTAGGGGGTGTTACAATTAATGGATGCTCGAACAAAGCATTATGTGAGAAATTTTCATTTCTCATGCAATCACAATTTCATATGAGCATGATGGGAGAATTGAACTATTTCTTGGGATTATAAGTAAAACAGACTCCACAAGCGATTTTCATTAATCAAGCCAAATACACAAGAGATTTGATGAAGAAGTTTGGGATGGAAGGCAAGACATTTGTAAAGATACCTATCAACACACCTCAAGGACTTGATGCAGATGTAGATGGCAAGGATATTGATATCACACTATATAGAGGTATAAATGGGTCTTTTCTATACTTAGTAGTTAGTAAACTAGATATTTCCTACCACTACAAAAAAACAGGTATTTAGTGTCGGTTTTCTGGCATCGGTTAACTAAACTGACACCAAAAACACTTCTAGCATCGGTTCAAATAAGAATGGGTAAACACTTATTTATATTGCGTCGAAAGTCTTATAATGACGGTTTTTGTAATCATAGCCGCGGTTATAATGGACGTAGAAGGAAAAAAATGCCAACATTCCCGCTAGCATTTCGCAAGGTATAACAGCCCCGCGCTAAATGGCCTCAATTAGAACTGTCGTTAACTACCAGTTTTACCTTATAAACACAAAACATCCACTTAAGCGCATCTCACAACCTCAAAACATCGTAAACCCTAGCGCAATCCGAATGAACTCTCTCATCGAATGAGCCAAGGAATAAGAACAAACTTCGTCGCCGATTTCAAAAATCAGAAATCAGCTATCTCCTTAGCGATGAGTACCCTCTTAAGCGATGCGCGCCCTCTTCGCGAAATAACTTCTTCCATCTCTTCTTTGCTACCTTGGTCTTCATCGGGCGTTGTATCCAAGCTTGTAAGATAAGGAATTTTCGACTTTAAGAAGTATGAATTCATATTGTTGTCTTTGGATTGAAACCCATGCTTTAGTTACGATCAATTTTGTTATTATGACTTCATTTTCAGCTCTTCTGTTATTCTTTGTGTTTCAACAATAGTTTCATGAAATCAAGCAACTATGAAAATAGTCAAATGTTGTATTTATCTAAATGTTGTGTCTATTGCTTCATAAGCACAAACTGAAATTGGTAAAACACATGAGATTTGTCTCTTGCAATGTGACTGTTAGACAGAGCGTTAACCCTCTTTGATTAAAAAAAATGCGTCACACCCCCTTATGTTATAATTAATCATGCACAAAATCCCCTCCAAGAACAAATCTAACATCCATGAAAAATGAAAAATGATTAGTTTTTTGTGTAATTCATAAACTTTGGTAAACTTACTTGCATATTCAACCATATTATTAAGAAAAATGGTTTCGAAATTATAAAATTTGTTCTTGAAGATGGGTTTTGTGCAAGATTAATTATAACACAGGGGAGTTTGACTCATTTTTTAAATCACAAGGGGCTAATGCGCCGAATTTATATTTCACGAGGGGGGTTGATGCATTAAACCCATATTTTTGGGGTATTCTTTTGTCTTCTGTTTGGTTCTGTATTCTCTTTTTAGTTAGATAGACCATTGTTTTGTAGTACTTTAATGTTTCTAGGTGTGTTTTAGTGTTGCTACATTGTGATATGATGATATATTTTATCTATTTGTTGGGGTATTTTCCCCTTCTTTTAAAATCGATTCCTAGCTTATTTTTTTACAATAATAAAAGATATATGGATATGCTTTTCAACATATTTTTTGCATCCTTTCTAGCATAGTATACCCCCCTCAGTGACTTTACATTTACATTTTAGGATGTGATTCCAGAGCATCTCTGGTTCCTTTCAAGGCTACATTAGTGCAATTGGGTGTGGAAAGCCAAGGCTACATTAGTGCAATTGGGTGTGGAAAGCCATAACTTATCAGTTTAGTACAAGTAAACTTGGTTTCAGATGGGTAATTGCTGGTTGGAAACTTGGAACTCAAACTTTTGCCTTGTTCATAATGTTTAAATAGGGACTGCATGATTTACATTGTGTCAACAACTAGCATTTAGTTAAGAAAATCAAATAATTAAAAAATATAAAAGATTGGAGTAGATCAGAGTAATCATAAATATCATTATGTTCACATTCTATGACAGGCTTGACAGCTATTAGATTTTCTTTAATAGACATTATTGTGGTTTCTTAAAACCAGTTGGGGAAGTGGGGAACTAATCGTATTGTTATTCTCACTGTGAAAAATTATTATAAGTGAATAATGTGCAAGTTCTTTATTTATATACTTAAGCTTTAATTGGTTGTATCTTTAGTCAACTCGTATAGAGGTTAATAAGTTTTTAAAAGGCGTTTTGTTTTTATTATGGTTTTCTTTAGAATATATTTATCCCTCAAGAACTGTGACAACCTACCTTAGATCCTCAATTTGGTCTCTTATAGAAAATTAAATGACTCTGCTTTTTTTTTCATCGATTCCGAATGGTACTTCTCCAATTCTTCGTCAAGGTCTTCGGCAGATATTTTCTCCCCTCCACGGTCTCTACCTTGTCCCCGACCTCTTCCTTGAAACCCACCTTGTCCACCCCTTCCCCGGCAACCACGTGGTCTTCCAAAAAAACCACCTCGTCCAGGATGACTTCTAGGGATTACACTAAAAGCTCCAAAGGCACCACCAAATGCATCAGGTTGAACATGAGGAGGTGTCACAATGTTTTTTTCTACCATCTCTATCTTCATAGGTTTGCCATCCAGTTGAAAGTTATTGTACCTTTTCACAACTGATATAGCATCTTGTCGACGCGAAAAGACAACTTCTCACTATTAAAGGGTGCAAGATGACACCTAATTCAAAGCGGCATTGGCGCCAATACCTTGCATTCTCACTTTTGCAATACCACTATATGAGGTCCATATTACCTTATCTGATCTCCTATAGAATTTATCACATTGAAGTGTTTAAAAGCATTTTATTAAGTGTGAACAACTCTTAAGCATTAAAGTTGTAGTTCGTAATTTGGTAACAAACATGTAGATTCAAACGACAACCCTTTTACTTTAAAAGTCAGCTTTTAATAACATTTTAGCCCATCAACTTGCATGACATTTGTTGTTTCTCAATCTAAAGTGTTCAGTCCATCAACTTGCCGAAATAGAGGAGCTTTTGTCACATTTTAGTGTATCATTCTTTGTTGCTTGAAAAATGGAAAAGGTAATGTAGTGTATCATTCTTTGTTGGTTGAAAAATGAGATAACAACTAAATTAGTGAAGCAAACACTTAAAACTATATGACATATTTATGATTAAAAGTTATGCATGTGGGAGAATATTAACGTTGCTACTATGAGTGACTATTTAGAGTGAACTGGTTTAGCATAATAAACTTTCAGAATGTGGCATGAAACGTGACTTGATTTTTTTGGTTTGCTTTTGCATCAACATCAAAAAATTTGAATTTCTTTACAATTACATTTAATTACTTTCAAATGTTTAACTTTTCAGGAAACATGTACCTCAAGCCTAGAAATACCCAAGCAGCTACACAGAAAATCTTCATGAGGAAGCTGTGGTGTAGATACTGTGTATAGTAGTAGGGGTTTCACTTATATTTTGTAACTAGTATGACATTCATGACACTCCTTTGAGTATACAAGGCATTTGAACGTTTATGTCATTATGTTGCTAAGCTGTCTTTCTTCTTTTTTGGGTAGTCCCTAAATTAAGTTCACACTTCAATACTTTTCTTATGTGGCAAATTATCTACATTAAAACAGTGCCAAACAGTGTCCAAACAGTGTCAAATCGTGTTTAAACAGTGCAAAACAGTGCACTCCACAGTAAAGTGAAATTTATTTTCTTAATATGTGTGAAGTCAAACAAGGAACTTAATTAGGGGGCGGAGGGAGTATTTGTTTATCTACTCAGAGTCCAATTCCGATTATAACATTTCTTCCCGTGAGAAATGCGAACGATCGAAAAATGATCATTCAAAAAAATGCATATTTATAATTTAAAAAATGACAATTCATATGACATATGTACACATTTGTGATTAAACTATGCATATTTCAAATGCATACTTTCTAAATAAACATTGTCATCAAACATTTAGAGCCCGTTTGGTAACATGAAAATCGGCCGATTCGGCTGATTCTGCTGAAATTTATGAAGTTCTGGCTGAAGTGGCTACATTGGCTGATTCTGCTGATTTAAGAAAAAAAAATATATTTTATTAATAAGATAGAGAAGAAATTATATGTAAAAATAGCTAAACATGGTCATCTACAATGACTTCACTCAATATAGCTAAAAAAGTAACTTTAATCTTTCTTTTTATTATTATTACACAATTAAGCGCAAGAAAACAAAAGTTACGTGTTTGATGATACTCCCTCCGTCTCTTAAAACTTTGTCAATTTCCCTTTTTTGGATATCCCACTAACTTTGCCACTTTCCCTTTTAAGTAAAGAATTTGTGGTTCCAGTTAATTCTCTCTCCTCTACACAAACCTCAAGCACACAGTTTTTACTTTATTAATTCTCGTGCTGGTCAAACTTGGCAAAGTTTTAAAGGACAGAGATAGTAGTTGACTGATAAGTCTCATAACCCGAAAAATAGTGTTATCCTACCGCCACTTAAACTAATTATTATGGCATCTCCATTCTCGCGTACAGAAATGGATACCGTAAACGTTTGTACGTACAACTTTTCATTAGGAAATAACGAACGCTGCGTGGCGCGTACGCCAAAATTGTGCTGCTTCACTTATTCTTCTAACCGTTAAATTTTCCCCCAAAATTTTCTACAGGGCGCCGGCTACGCCTGCGATTCTTCACGGCCGACAAAGTCATGGCTCTAATCGCCTGCAAGTTATGCTTTTCGTTTACGCTTCCGTTCCGAAGGTCTTCTCCGTCTTCTTATAATGGTTCATCACTAGAACATCGTCAGCCTCACAGTCAGAGGCAGCGTCATTTTCAGATTCTGTCGTGCGCTAGCGTAGCGCGATCTGTTCTCCCTATACCTTGTCCTTTGAAGCTCGACCCGGCAAAGAAGCTGTACTTCCCATGTATAACATCTCTTTAACTCATAATATGCGCTCCTATCATTATCCCTCAGTCAATTTCCCTAATTCATCCTTTCTTATACGATTAAAAATTATCTGTAGCCGTGTTTTGTTTAAAATTACCTGCTTCTGTTGTGGGGTTCAGTTTTTACTTGAAAATTCAGTAATTGTGAAAATTTTGGGGATTTTCATATTTGGAGCACCAAACCACCAATTTGGTGTAAGAACTCAATCCAATGCAGGAGCTTATTGTAGGCGTAGACTACATCTTGCTGAATATATAAACTGGTTACATTAAAGAAAATTAATTATCAGTACCACATAAGTTCTGAGAATGAAAGCTTGGCGCATATTTTAAAGTGATACGATGTATTTAATACGGAGTATATTCAATAACAGGAATCTGGAGATGTCCATTTTATACTTCCTCAGCTTGAATTGAATTGCAATTTGCGATTTTTAAGATTGACGAGCGGTAAAGTTAAATCTTCCCTACGGGCAGTTAAATCAGTTTTAATTATTAAAAAATATAATCCGTATATTCAGAAATTACATTAAAAGTTCTATAAAGTCGCAAAGTCCAAATTAGAATATAATGAAAAATTGATATGCTAAATAAGTAAATAAAGTGAAACTGTGTTGACCAAGAAATGTTTACTATGCGAATTATTTTGGGGCGGTTTTTGTAGTTGTATTTGTACTCATAATATGGCTGACTATTAAAATGTTTACAATGTTCTACAGAGTACATTTTTTATTGAGAATAATAAATACTCCCTCCGTCCCAGAAAATTCTTCCCACTTTGATTAAGAAAGTGGGATAAAGTGGAAATGTGTGGTTGTGGTTGTGTAAGAAAAAAGTGAAATGAATGTGAACCACACAAATTGTCCAAAAAAGGAAAGTGGGAAGAATTTTTTGGGACGACCCAAAAAGGAAAGTGAGAAGAATTTTATGGGACGGAGGTAGTACATAAGTATGTCTTTTCCTGAATATAAATTGCTTACATGTAAGTATGTATGTGTGTGTTATATAAACACTCTGTCCTACAGAACAAAATTTCTTTTTCTTCTCAAGTTTTGAGCATCAAATTTTTATCAATTTCAAGTTTAGTATGTCTTACATTTCAAAAAACTTTTACTGCAATATTTTAAAAAAGTGATATTATTTATATATTGCCAGGGAGGTATAACTTTATCACCAATCAATGATCATAAGTTTTGATGGGCAATGATGAATGGTATGGAGGGAGTATATGATTTGAGATACCCTGCGACAATTATAATCAAAGTACCTATTGACATAAAGCAAATTTGCATTTTGAAAAATTTCCTATATCAAAAAATGAGTTCAATAATTCTTTCAAGAACTTGAAGTGAAAGATCAATTTGGTATCAAGTAGGAAAGGATATCAAGTAAGAATATTCACAAAAGTAATTCTTTTTACCCATTGGAATTGCTTTATAATGGATGTTTTTAAATTTATTAACGATAGATTATTAGTCACAGACTCACAGTAATCCGTATTTTGTAGTAAGTACTTTATGGAACAATGTGAATTCATTGGATATAGCATTTAAAATAGAAAAAAGGTAACACTTACACATAAAAAATAAAGTAGACAGGAATAAAGAAAGGAAGCAAGGTCTTGTGCTTGTCTAAAGTGTCTGCAGATCTTCCTTTAGAACCACTTGCAATCAGTCAAGATTCCATCATGCATGTAACTCTGTTAGACAGGGCTGGTCTAATTTGATTATTCTTTGATTTGGCTGCAGATGAACCTGGAAAACAAGTTCGAAGTGCTGTCAAGATTAAAAATGCAACCAAGTCCCATGTAGCTTTCAAGGTAGTAAAAGTATTCAAATTATTTAACCTTTTTCTTACTTCCCGAATTCCATTTATTCTCAAAAGTGTCCCTGGATCTCTATTCAGCTTTCATTGTGTTCTAATTTCTCATTTATGCAATCTGTCTTATATCATCAATGATATTTTCTTATGTTGGAAGTTCCAAACAACTGAACCAAAAAGCTGTTTCATGCGACCTCCTGGGGCTGTTCTTGCTCCTGGCAATAGTTTAATAGCAACAGGTAATATACTTTTTACGTATAATATACATTTCAACATTTAATAGTAACAGATAAGCCAAAAAAGACTTGCTATTTTTTGGCTTGGGAATATTATGGAATAAAGAAAAATGACTCACTAAACTGTCTACACTTCTTTATTATGAAGCAGTATTCAATCCATGTAATTTTCGACGCAGTTTCCATCCCAGATCATTCGGAAACAGTCTCCCTGTGCTTTATGCAGGGGTAAGGCTGCGTACATCCGACCCCCCCTTACCCTACCGGTAAGTGGGGAGCCTTTACGGCACTGAAGTAACGTTGTTGTTGTATTTAAGATTCTTCAATTCTCATAGGTATAAGATTTCAATTTTTGTTTAGTACTTTATAAGTCTTCGATATGTTTACTATGTGTGGGAAAAACTACTTGATAAGTACTGTTTTGCAAGTACTAGTCTTTGATTGTTGCACCATTGCTCTAGTTTTCAAGTTTATAGAGCCTCCAGTGAACAATGAAAAGCGTAATCAGAAAAGCAGGGTGAAATTCAAAATCACGAGCATCAAGGTTAAAGGAGAGCAGCAGTATAAACCAAACCTGGTTAGTACCAAACTTCATTGACATCAGTTCCTTTGTTAACTGCCAATAGGCATGAGTCATCCTCAGGACAGTGGTAATCAAAGGCAGTGTGGCCATATTCAAAAAATGATGATGGTTCAAGACGAAATATAAAATGGTCTACAGTTTTCCTACCACCGTGGCTCCGTTGATATTTCTGTTTTTGAAGAAGGTGCAGTTATCAATTAAGACAAATGCAAGTTGACAGAAAATTAATTAGAAGGTATATGAGTCTTCAGATAAAGGAAAAAACACAAGGAATGTAGATTAGAATCGGCCCCTGATTAGCTAAGTTACCCCCCACACGCATATGAGCAGTTCCATGTGTCTATTGATCACTATATAGTTCAAATACAAATAATTGTTCTCAAAAAAAATTGTTCTTGTGTTTCTCAACAGTTTGAAGATCTAAGAAATCAAAGTGCCAAGGAACAGATACTACAGATTGTTTTTCTTGATCCAGAACGTCCTTCTCCTGTGAGTACTGGTATACATTATTGCTACCACAACACTCGCTGGATCGTTATCATCACCTTAATTCCACCTATGGTGGGGCCGGATACATAAAATTTATGTGTCAAAGTAACTGTCTAAAAGGTACTCCGTACGCCCATTTTTATTTCAGGAAATCATTAACACTCTTAAATGACAAATTAATCATCAAATATTCCAAATAATACACTTATATCACCACAGTCATCATCAATAGCCTCATTATGTTATACACCCATCAAAACTATTTCTCAAAATACACTCGATTTACCTTATTTTATTATTTTCATAATAATTCTGCCATTGTTTAACGAGAAGCTTAAGCCGGGACAGAGTTAGTAGTTATCACAATAAACTCATGTGAAAAACAAAGCACAATGAGGTTATGATGTTTCTTAATGTGAAGATGTGATTCTTTTGAAAGATCAATTTGAAAAGGTGTGTCACTTCCCCACCCACCCATAAAAACCTGTAGGCTTTGAAGAAACTCAAGCACCAGTTGGCTGAGGCTGATGCTGCTGCTGCTGCTGAGGCTTGCAAAAAGCTAACGGAAGATGCAAGTCAGAAGTTTATTGGCGAAGGACTTGTGGCAGATGAATGGGTGAGAGATGCTCATGAAACTTTGGTTATGTTTGGATCCCAGGAAATGCTAGGGAAAGAAGAGGAAATGATAAAAAAAAAGTTATTTGATGTTTTTGGTTTACCGTAGAAAAAGAAAATGAAAATGGAACATTGTTAATGCTTTTAAAGTGTTCACATGTGATTAGATTCTTCAGGATTTAGATAATAGATAAATAAAAGTAGTTTTGAACAAATATAAAGGGTAGCCTGGTGCACATTGGCATCCCCACAAGGCGAGGCCGCGAGGGTCCGGGAGTTTTGAACAACAAAAACATCCAAGCCTTATTCCCATAAGATTTTGGAGTCCGCTAACATGAATCGATCCATGATATCAGGGCCAAAAAGAGAAGAAAGATCAGAAAAATAAAAAGATAACATAAGATAATTTTGGATAAGATAAAAATAACATAAGAACATAACAAAGATAAAAGAATATAAGAAAGGTAAAAGATAAAAACAACATAAGAATAAAGATAGATAAAGAAGATAAAAGATAAAAGAAAAAGAGAGAAAAGAGAGAAAAGGAAGTTTTGAACAAATATAAAAAATAAATTCATTGAGTTTGAACTAATGTTATGCTTCCTAGAATCTTCTGTCATTCCAAACTGTCCTCTATATTTTCTTTCCTGAGCATTTTCTGGTTCCAAACCATCCCTTCATTTATTTGCAAAGGCTACTTTTCACATCACTGAACTAGTTGTATGCATTAACCCTTGTGTTTTCAGAACGAAAGAAGAGAGAGATACCTAGCCCAAGAATGCCTTGGATCTGTTGAATCAATATAAATAACTGGGTGGTTCGTTCAGTTACTCCTATGCTCTAACTGGAAGAATGTGCATATATTGTAGCCTGATGCATACACTCCATGAGTAACTATGAAGAGAGACGATTAATCGATTATAATGCCCCTGTGTCATTTAATTACGTTATTTTACTTTTGCTAGTTGCTACTGATGTGTACTTTGCATAAAAAAGTAGAATGGAAATAGTTGATGGTAATGTGTTTGTTATTTTGTGGATAATTGGACATATGGAGTTCTAACCAGCTTCACTACAGCAGTATATATGTACATGCGGGGCTTCAAAAGTCTAAATGGAAGAAAAAGGTATGTCTCATAGAAGGTATTATAACTTGGTAAGGGAAAATTGCACTATTTTGTCCTCCCATTGTTCTCTATCCTAGAATCTAGCCATATACATTGTCAATTTAGCCTTTCAATGATTTAAAAGGTGAACAAATAGGCCCCTCACGTCTAGGGCTGTTAACGAATCGAGCTTTTATCGAACTATTCGAGCTCGAGCTCGATTTCGAACCTAACGAGCCGAGCTTAACGAGCTTCGAACTCGAACTCGAGCTGAGTTTTAAGTTCGAAAAATTAATCGAGCCGAGCTCAAACATAGTAGTTTTCGGCTCGGTTCGAACTCGAGCCTATCGAACACCCTAAAATTTTAAATATAATTTTTATATATGTCAAAATTTAAATATAATTAGTATGATTTTATGAATTTAAATATGATTATTAATGAACTGAATACTTGTCGAACCCTTCGAGCACGAGCCTATTAACGAGCATCATCTAAAATTTTAAATTCGGGCATATTTATCGAGCTTATTGAGCGCCCGGTTCGAACATCGAACGCCTATCGAGCCGAACACGAGCCTCATTTGTAAAGCTCGCCGAGCTTCGAGCTCGAACCCGAACACCCCTTATTCCTTAACGAGCCGAATTCGAGCTTTGGGTGTTCGGGCTCGGTTCGGCTCGTTAACAGCCCTAGTCACGTCTTAGTGCTACTTACTAATGTTACTGTTTGGTGATTCCACTACGATCAAAGAGTGGCAAATTTAGTAATCTAATTTATAAGCATTTGAGTGATTAGATTGCACGATTAGGAATAATAATAATAGTCTGTCAGTTTTCCTTTAATCAGGATTTGGGAAGAGATTACTTAGCAACCTAATTGATAGTGCTGCAGTTATGGGTGCGTTGTAACTTGTAAGCAGATAATCTCGATCCGGTGCGTTTGTTTTAATTGTTTATGTGTTGAAATGAAATTGATGATAAAGCCGCCAGATCACCATTTATATTGCACAATAACGACAAAAAAGGTCACAAAAGGCCGGCCATCCTTCCATCATCAATCGGCCGCTAGAATTCCTCCAAAACCATGTCTCTTCTCTCTTCGCCAACAAAACCACTGTCTGTCTTTAGAGCCAAACAACAGCATGCTATATATAACGTCTTCTTCCACCATTTTTATCCACTTCCAAGTTCCAAGTCTTGAAAAGAAAAGTTAAAAAATCTTCAAAAGTATACTTTGGGACGTCAAGATGAGCTACATTAGCAGAGTATGCATGGCGGCTAGTGTTGCAGTGATCGAAACGACACAAAGGGAAAAGTGCCCGTCAAAGTATTACACCACCTTTCGGGCGATGCGGCCAAGTAGCACCGGGGCTAGCTGCAGCAGTGAGGTAGAAGTTAAGAGGGTAGAAGTTGATGATGAGTCTGTCCAGAAAGTGATGCTTATGAACTGCTGGACACAGAGCTAGCTAGCTAGCTTGGGATTTAGGAGAAGAAGATTAAAGATATATTCGGAGTACATAATATATTCATATGTATGGCACTTAAATAGTTTTGACATTTGTGGCTCTTTTGATCATAAGTTTGTAACTCCGATCCTTGAATTCCTCAAACTAAGAGGAGAAAGAGAAATTGACGGTGATGGTAAAGTATTCCCCTTTTCAATGGAGTGGTCATACATATTCACCTTTAACATAACGATAAACGATCTTTTACCATAATCTCTTCGAATTAGTGAAGTTATCAATCAAATAATTGGATTGAGTGGAACTACTGTGGAAGTGCTTAATTATTTGGAAAAAAATACTAGTATAATATTACTCCATATTAAAACGACATACTCCCTCAGTCCCATAAAATTCTTCCCACTTTCCTTTTTGGGTCGTCCCAAAAAATTCTTTCCACTTTCATTTTTTGGAAAGTTTGTGTGTTTCACGTTCATTTCATCTTTTTTTTACACAACCACAATCACATATTTCCACTTTCTTCCAATTTCTTAATCTCTGTGCCAAGTCAAAGTGGGAAAAATTTTATGGGACGGAGGGAGTACATATTATTAATAAAGTTTATAAATGATCTTTCGTCATTCCAGCTCAAAAGCAGTAAAGCCCTACACAAAAAGGAGTACGTGTATAATAGACTAAGAGCCCGTTTGGAGAACTCTGTTTTCGGCTTATCAGGCTTATCAGCCAGCTTTTTCACCAAACACGTAACTTTTACTTTCGTGCGCTGAATTGTGTAATAAGCCGAAAAAGTAAGGTTGGAGTTACTTTTCTGGCTGTATTGGCTGAAGTTACTGTAGAGGACCATTTTAGCTATTTTTACATATAATTTTTTCTTTAATTTATTAATAAAATATTTTTTTAAAATATTTTTTTCTTAAATCAGCAGAATCAGCCAAAACAGCCACTCCAGCCAGAATATCATAAATTTCAGCAGAATCAGCCAAAACAGCCGATTTTGGTGCTACCAAACGGGCTCTAGTGCGGCCTAAGACATTCAAAAATGTCACTGCTCTTACGTACTGCATTATCCGTGTATCCGTGTATGTGTCATATCTGGATTTTCTTTTTTGATTCGTACATCAATTCGCAAATTCGCCAACGGCTTCCAGTTCTTGGAAAGGACAAGACCTTACTTAAGGAGTGTTTGCAGTTGATTAAAAAAAGCACTTTTTAGCTTTTGGCTTAAAAAAAGTTAAAAAGAGTGTTTTCAAATGACAGCTTCTGCTTAAATTAATCAGTTAAAAGCTAAAAGCTGGAAGCAGGTGGAAGGGTGCTTTAAACTGCTTTTCACTTTTTCTATTACACAAAAAGTACTTATTTTATCAAACACTACCAACTTTTACTTTTTCAGAATCACTTTTTTCTCAAACACTACCAATTTTTACTATTAATCACTTTTCCCCAAATCACTTTAAAAAATCACTTTTTTAAAGTTGAAGTAATTGCAAACACTCCCTTATAAGTTAAAGGTTGAATCCTCAACTTCAGGAGCCCGCACTCACGTGCGGCCCTAGGGGTGCAAGTGGGGCAGGCGCCCTAGGCCCAAAAAATATTGGTAAAAAATAGGCCCAAATTTAGTTCTTTGTAATAGATGTGAGTAGGCTCATTTTTCGGGTCTAAAGTAACAATTTTTCAAGTGGAATTTGTTGAAGTTCTTCTGAATGAATTTTTTAGCGAAACTTATGACCATGTTTTCTATGAAGTTTAGAGTATGTGAGAAAAAATCAGTTTAAAGTTTAATTTAGAAGTCACCTAAATAAATTCTTGAAAACACTGCTTTTTATACATATTTTGGCGCATTGTGTTTCAATAATTTATTTAACTGACTTCACGATTTCATTTTAAGCTGAAATTTTATGGATATAATCTACACGTGATGAAAAACATTCTCTTAAAATTTCATAAAGAAATTTCACTGGAAAGTAGATTAGTCTGATATGATGATTTGATTAGTTTATTAATCGATTCCATTCATGGTTCTTTGAATTCTTAATTGTTGATTGTTTTTGATGAAAACGGTTAGCAACACAAGAGGGGGGGTGAATTGTGTGTGTGTGGAACCGTGGCAGTTTTTCGCCGAGTTCTAGTGTGGGATAAAGGGAATTGCAAAATAGTAAAGTGCACAAGAATTTAACGAGGAAAAATCCCTTGGCTCAAAGGGATTAAAAAACCTCGACCTCCCTCGGAGGAATTTTAAACAACTTCACTAAACAAGCCTTTGAAAGAGTTACAAGAGTGATTCTCCTAATCTACCCTTGAGCCTCCCCAACTCTATCCTCTCTAGGAAGAGTTATGCATCTCTACCTTGCGGGTAGAGAGCCTCTCAGCTTTATCACAAAGCTCTCACACACACTTAACCCGAGGCAGCTACTCTAGCCAATTAAGCCTCAATATTCCAAGTACAATATGAAAGGGAAAAGAAAAAGTCTGTCTAGAACTCCGAGCGGGCAGTTTCAGGCGCCAAGGACTTGATCTTTTTCTTGAATGATTCTTCTAAGTATTTTTCTCGGTTCAGCACTCTTTTTCTCTCCAGCTACTTCGATTATATAGGAGACCTCAGAATTAATCCGTTGGAGCCTTCTTCTCTCGAAATCAATCTTGATACTTGCCTTGAAATAATTTAAACACCTTCCATCTTGATACTCAAGTCAACCGAGCTCTTATGGTCTTACAAGACAATGAATAATTGGCAAGACAGTAATATATTATCTTTCCATAGTAAGAGAAATGAATCTCGCAGAATACAATACTTGGCATATATGGATTTATTCGAATTGTATAACTTTACTAAAGTAGCTTTTTCCTTTGATAGCATAATGCTCAAAACATGCAACGATCTTCCTTTTTTAAAAAAGCAAGCAATGATGGCTTTTCAATGGTAAGCACATAATTATTTAAAAAGCATATGGCTCCTACGGCAGCTTCCAAAAAGCAAAGTATTTATTTCATGCAATGGTCAATCAAATCATATGTTACCAAAAATATTTCAATTACTATATTAAGCAAGAAGACCTTTTATATATCAAATTCAAATACTACGGACAACTAGTTTAAAGACATGCACATGCAGACACATAACTAATTATGAGACTGAGAATTTCGTGGAACTGTTCTGTCCAGAGTTCGTATTAGAACTCTCCGTAGTCGGTTCTGTCCCTTGTTCCACCTGCATGGTTAGTCATCAACAAAACCACATACTCAACAGTTTTCTTGATAGGTGGTAAGTAACGGTGACTCAGTTAGTCCAATAATAGTAGATCTTGTATCTGTAGGTATCAACAGTTCAACCCAATTCAATATACAAGAGTTGTAACCTCTGCACGGTTGTTATGGGTTTCGATCATTGATCAATAATCTAACTTTCCTACCACTCAATCAACTGAGCTACCCGCGCGGGTAGATCTTACTTACATAACTGCACTCGATGTCTGATGCGTGATCGTGAAGTAGAACACCACCGGGGCTTCAACTTGAACTTTATTGGTAGATTATTCTTAATTCATCCTTGGCTCCCAAATATTCATTTCCCAAATTCGCATAATTATCAATTAACCAGGTTCGATATAAGGTGACAACTTCGGTACCTTTCTAAAAAATGGGGTACCGTACCTACCACCCATTTGATTAGACCACATCACTTTATCATTTTTAATTTAGATTTAAATAATTCAACTGCTACACTCTCATTGGTCCATGTGGACAAATGTATGGTACCTTATGGGTACCATAGAATCTACCTCGATATAATCCCAAGACGTACACCATATGTACAAAAGACAACAAACATAGTATAATTAATTAAAGAAGTATAAAACTCTTTATTTTTCGTATGACAATAGCATAGCCGTGTTTGAAGAAATATGTAATACGTAGTAAGTATAATTCAGAAAATAGCCGTGATACCATACCCACGCAAATTATACCGTACGTGGGATCGGCCCCCATGCGCATGGTGTGCCGATCCCAAAACGAGGCCGTTTTATATTAATTAAAACAGAGTCTGTTAGTACCCAACGTTGATAGATTTTGATGATGCCACTATATCAATAAATAAACACCTCCACCACCTAATAATCATGACTAATAAAATGTATCAAATAAAGTATACTGGCAACTTAAAATGCAATAAGGTAATTTTTGTTACCTTAAAAAGGATATTCAAATCCCACCAGTATAACTTTATTTGATACACAAATAAACAAAAGAGTGGAAAGTGTTGAACGAATGCATCAAATAAATTTCTACTGGAAAATTAAAAATTCACTAGGGTAACTTTTTTACCTTAAGGATATACAAAAGATTCTTCCAGTACATAATTTACTTGATGCATAGTAACACGCAGGGATAAGATGCATAACAAAGGCATAAGGCTAAAAAGCATTTAATGCAAGGTTTTTACATGGGTCCCTGAAGATGATAAAAGATAGAAGTGATCTCTCGGAGGAAGCTGATCAGTGAAGATAAAAGGAAATCTCCTTATCCTGCTTCAACACAAGAAAACAAGAGTACAACTCTTTCTGCGACTACGATTAATTCCTCTCAACCAACGGAGGGGATTAATCTACTGAAAAGGCCTATAAAAGTAGGCAGAAGCATGAGTTCTAAAATCAAGTTTTTGAGTTATCTAAGTAGAGTATACACTTCAAACATTCAAGAGATATCTAGCAAAAGAGAAAGTGCACGTTAAACTTTGCTCTCTGCTTAGACTCATGCTTCACTAAGCTCTTAGACTAGATCATACACGATTATACTTTTAGAGCTTAGTTTCTAGTTGGAGGTTAGAAATTTTCTTGTAAACAAATTGTTGTAAACACTTAGGAGAACAGTTGTTCGGATCCTATAGTGTGGTTAGATAGATAGAGTACCTTTTGATCCCCACTGGATCAATTGAGAAAAGTCTTAAGGTTTGAGTAACTTGGAGTGGTGTTATACTCCTCGTGAAACGCCTTCAATCTAGGCCAGAGTTGTCAAGGCTAGATTGACACTAATTGTATTGGGCTGAATACTTTAGTGGAAATCCATTTGAAATAGAATGACACTGGATGTAGGAGGATTACACCACCTCTGAACCAGGATATATGGTGTGTTGATTTACTTTTATACATACAGAACACACACCAAACACATCTCACTAAAGGTTTGTAGTTTGCCAGCAACATCCTAAGCAGTAGTCTTCATCAACTCTACTGCTTAGCCTACTGCTTAATAACTTACTCTCCTTGAGAGTGTTTTCCACTAGAAGTTGTCTTAAACTCAGAAGGTGCCTCAGCAGTACCCTGATCTTCACCCTCCTGCTGAGCCCACTGCTCGTCCATACGTATCTTTCCAAACTCCATAACAAGCCAGAACAAAAAGCCATCCAAGAGTCATCATGTTCTTAACAGTTGCCTCAGCAGTAACCTGACTACCAGCCAACTGCCAACTCAGCAGTTGCCTGCCAGCCAGCAAACTGCCTGTGCAGCAGTAGCCTGAGCAGTTATCTACTCACCAGTCAACTGCCAAGCCTACTTCCTCTCATAACCAGTCTAAACATCATCTAACCTAGAAAGTTATCTCACACTAAGTATAAAGAGGTTAAAGACTTCCGTTGTGCATCTATTAATCTCCCAAAAGATTATGGATCAACTCATCTAGAGGGAAAAGTGTTTCAAAATTGAAAAAGCTTTAAAAGTCTATTCACCCCCCCCCCCCCCCCTCTAGACTTTTATCTCTATCCGGGACCATCAGAGTCGACAAAATTCATCGTCTTCTCCAGCCGTCCAGCGTGTGCTTCGTCCCTGCTTAATCAATTCCTTTGCTGATACGAAGCTTCCTTGTTGGACCTCCCTACCTGCTGAATCGAATTTGTAATGCTTCGTGCACATGTATTACCTCTTTTACTAAGCCAATTATGTAGCAAACTCTAATTCAAACCAGCAAATGCATAATTTAACACAAGCTGTTAGCCGACAAAGAAGATAGCTCGTCCATCTCTAACCGTACTTGTCTCATCGGCGACGCAGTATTCCCTTACGGTGGATTGAAGGACTTTGATAATATATACTTCGTATTATATATATTTTATTTTATATGTATATATCGATCTTATATGGAGTATTAGACAACTTATATTCCCATTAACACAATTTACATTTCCATTTGCCTTAGGTTACATCTCCTTTAACGGGACTTACATTACAATTTGCACCAAGTTACATTTTAACTAATGTGATCTACGTCATCTACATTTCGACTTATCCGAGCAAGTTACATTTCAATTAACATGGTTTACATCTCAATTCTCAACTTGTCTGAAGTCACATTTTAATATACATGATTTACATTTCGTATATAACTGGCGAGAGAGTAACAATTTGAGGGAGTGAAGTACATTCCAGAGCATAAGTTACATAATTTTATAACCGAGTTTCATCTTCTGAAACGCAAGTTACATTTGTCATCAACGCGAGTTACATTTGTAATAACATGAGTTACATAAAAAATAACTCACTGCTATTGAAACAAAAAAATGTTTTTTTTTTAAATCCTTGTGATGGTCATGATATTATAAACAAAACATATTCACGATTTTGTAAAGTAATTGTGTAGTTGGTTCTTTTTTTCATTGTTTGCATTGAAGTCAATGTTTTAGTTTTCATATTATATATTTGATAAATTACATTTCGAATGAACTTGAGTTACATTGATCAATAACGTGAGTTACATATCTTTACACGCGAGTTACATCATGCATACTACCGGGACAAAAAAACAGTTACTGTACACGCGTGTACTGTTCACGCGATTTTTTTTAAAAAAATTGTGCAAAACTACATCGTTTTGGGTGTGGGAGCACGGTGCTGACCATGGGGTGATACCACGGTATACGAACTGCCATAGCCATGTTTGAAGAAATATGTAATCGTATAATTCAGAACACATAGAAAGAATGAAAGAGGAGAATTCTTTTACCAAGAATAATAATTTGTCACAGTAAAAAAAGAATATAGTAATTAATACGGAGTGTACGTAGTATGTCATACATTTAAAATCATCTTTTATTAGAAACTAGGGAAAATGTGGAACCTACTTATCTGTGTTTATCTCAACCATGTTACTCAACTGAAAGGCAACTGCGGAATGGATTAACATTAAAATGGTCGGATGATATGCATAATGGCATATTACTATATTAGTCATTACTTTTAGTTATATGGCCGGTAATTTTCTCTAAAATATGGGTTTTACACTATTTGGTTTTTACACATGATCGATCAATATCGCCAAAATTGAACAAATTTAGTAAAAGAGGTTAAATAAAAACTTAAAAACACAACATGACATCAAATGTAGGTCAAACCACGAGTGCACATTTCCATTGCAACCAAATTTGTCACACTTTTTTGTGAGCAGCTTCTCCTACAACACTCAATTCGATAGAGTTCGGCTTTCCAGGACAATCAACCTCAATCATGAACCTTGTCCAATACCAATGCTTTTTCCAAACAACCACCATCTCCTCTATCGGGATATTCTTTGTCTCGGGCAAGAAGAAATAGACGAGTGAGGTCATGATAGACACGAAAAAGGCGAAGAACAAGAACAACCCAAACTTCATGTGACACAACATTGTCAGGAAGACTTGTCCGATGATGAATGTGAAGATCATGTTGACCGCAACGTTAATGCTTTGCGCCGCAGAACGAATCTCAAGCGGGAAAATCTCACTGGGCACAAGCCAACCCAAAGGCCCCCATGCATGACCATGCGAAAGCACTCACGTAAATGCAAATAAACAGCACTACTACTACGGCGTACCACTTTGGCAGCTCGCCTGGGTATCCGTTTACTCCCAATTTCACTCCAATAAATATTGCAATTACAACCTACGTACAAAACCGGCCACATGTAATAATATGTAAAAAGAAATTAGAAAATGGTGTAATAAAATGTCTAAATTGAAGTGACATTCACATAAGGGTGGGCATGGCCCATGATAATCCATGTTGACCTATCAGGCCATACAAATATTCCTCCCTTCTTTTTTAATTGCAACAGTCAACTTTTCACGCTTGTCAACACATAAGTTAGACCGTTAATATCTTTCATTCCTTATTAGTAAAAAAATTAAAAAAATCAGATTTTGGAAATTTATTATGAGAGAAATTTGAAAATATTTTTTAAAAATTTAACTCATAATACATTAATAAATAAAATGTAGTCAAAGTAGAATCTGTGAATAGTGAAAAAAATCCTACGTTACAACTAAAAGAGAACGGAGGTAGACAGGTAGTATATCTTGCTACAATTTTGAAACAAGATGCTACCATATCATACTAAAACCATGTCAAAAAGTGAAAACATGTACATGTACATAATTTGTAACCGAAAAAAAAAATAACTGGCGGATTAACACATAATTAAAATGCAAATTAACTCAATTCTTAAAATATTACCTTCTAAATACACAGCAAATAGACTAAATTATAAGTTACACTACATATATGCTTTTAGTAGTTAGTATGTAAGTATGTAAATGTCTCGAAAGTCTAGTTAATTTTATATGTCTAGTAACCAGTTAGATTAGATTAATAACAATAGAAAAACTATAAAAGATCAATCAATTGTGAAAAAGATCATTCTACACTTCTATCTATACGATGTTTTTACCACACTAGATTCACATATACTACGTTAATATAATAAGTTGGACCACATATAAGTACAGTGTTTAGGACAAATTAGTCTTCCAATTTTTTTTCTAACTAGCTAGCTTTTAACTATATGTGACCACACACATGCTTTATTAGAGCACATAATAAGGACTAGACATGCAAAACAATTAAATGAAAGTGTCTCGTTATTATCGAATAAAATTATGTTAATGAGCGTAATTAAGAGGGCAAATTGTTATTACCTGACAAATGAACATTTGAATGCCACCCTCTAGAAACAAAAACCTTCGACCTAATTTATCAACATAGTAAATGGAGACGAGAGTAGCAACAACATTAACACCACCGGTGACCACAGCGGACATGAGTGACGGGTCATCTCCAAAACCAATGGTATTGAACAACACTGGGGCGTAAAACATAATCACATTGATTCCAGTGAATTGTTGAAAAAATGGGATCATGATAGCCATTGTGAGTTGCGGCCTATACTTTTCTTGCAACAAGTTTCTCCATGGGTTCTCAACTTTCCTAGAGGCATCCCTAGCTGCCACCAAGTCTTCAAACTCTTCATCCACATTCTCTACTCCTCTTATCCTCTTGAGCCTCTCTTTTGCTAACTCATTGTTGCCCCGCTCGATCAACGAGTTCGGTGTCTCGGGAAGGAAGATAGACCCGACTATGATGAACAACGCAGGGACCATGGCTCCTCCCAGACTCAAACGCCAACCCCAACTCATCTTTGCAAAGAAGTAGTTCAACACATTGGCAACTAATTAAGATCCCAATGGTGATGGATAGTTGAAACACAATGTTAAGTGCTCCTCTATACTTGTAGGGAGCCATTTCAGACAAGTAAAGTGGAACGGCCTACGACATTACAAGAAGAAACCGAATAACATATATATATAAGGTCAAGTAACAAATGATCTTATATAATGTTTTATTGTTTTATACCAATTCGGTGTGAGACAATTAATTAATTACTTCAGCAAATTTATAAATCATAAATCATTTATTTGCAAAACTATAAGGAAAAGTAAGACCTACCTGATTGGCAAAGCCAACGCCAAAACCAAGCAAAAGGCGTCCGAGGATCAACATGGCCACGTTTTGAGCTAAGGCATTGATCAAAGCGCCGGCGCAGAAGAGAGCGCCTCCCAACAGCATGGAATACTTCCTCCCAAGTCTCCGCGTCACATAGGACGCGATGAGTGAGGAACAAAGTGCAGCGAGGTAGAGCGACGAGGTGAACAACGTCAACGGAATGCTATCAAATTTGCAGTACTGATTTGTGGATGTCACCGCCTTCTTCTTTAGGTATACCGCGTGGAAGAACTTCTCTAAGAATCTGTCCATTGATGTCACACCCCCTTTTTTTATTCCACATTTTCATTGCACCCCGCCAAAACATTAAAAAAGAATAAGTTAACAACTATTCAATGAAGGAAAATTCCATTTTTACTGAGGAATTAACAACTATCCATTAAAAAAGAATAAGTTAACAACTATATATATATATATATATATATATATATATATATATAAGGGCAAGCAATTATCGAGTGATGATTAAAAAGAAGAAAAATAGCTCTCTTTTCAAAACGTAACTTGCTGAATTATTATCCTTAAAAATATACTATGAGTTATCATTCCCACATTTTTTGTCCTTTCCAAAAATAAAACATACAGCGTACATAAATATAGATATAAACAATATAAAACCTATGAAATGATACCCGAAATTCCTATATCGTAACCGAAAATAAGACCACCAATGGCAGCAACAATGCAAGTGAAACTAACATATCCGGTAAGGTTGCCCGGGTATTCTTTCCCTTTATTACCGGCCGCACTAGGCCCAAAACCACCACCCGCCATTCTTCGTTCAATTTAATATATCTAGCTTCCTTCTAATGGTATAAATATGAACTAGCTTGCTACACAAGAAATTAAGAATGATGGTAGATATAAGATGATGTTGATGTTATATCGGAGATACTGCGTAGAAAGAATGAACCATGCAAATAAGACGACTCACTACATATATATAATTGAATCACTATTTCAATAGTACGTATGCAATAAACACGTCTTTTGGATAAGTTTAGATGCTTCTTCCTATAATTATTATTGACTGCCATATATGGGCATCATTAATTGGGGCGTGATAATTAGTTTTATGCACAATTTATTTTTGGCCTAACTGTACGTACCTACTGATCTAGTAACCATATATGCAAATTCTAGATAAGTTATTAGTCATTTTGACATGGATATCGTTTTCAAATATTATTATCTTAAATTGCATACCAAACGTACGTGTAGTATATGTTTTGAACTTGTAAATCATTTTTTTAGGCAAAACTTGTAAATCATTTTTATTTAACTTGTTTTCATAAGTTTTAGCCAAGGTGATTTTATTATACTAATATAGCAAGGCACGCATCATCTATGATAGCTAGAACAAGCTAGATTCCTTATAAAGCAGAAAACTCCTCAAACCTCATGCTTCACCGTTTTGGAAACTCTAAACCATGTTGAAAGCCCAAAATATGAATTAGATGTTTCTATATTGCTTGCCTATCTGAAATATAATGGGGAGCCTTTTACTTATTAATAATTAATCTTTCAAAACTACGGAGCATGAATTTCTGGTTTTATATGTGGTTTGTTCATCATAGAAAACGCAACATGGTTTTTGTATTTTAATGATTACAATAGTAACTTCAGAGAGCATGATAATCATGTAAAATTAGCCATAATAGGACTTAAACATGCTAAAAAACTAATAATAGGACCTAAGAAGTTTTTATCGGTTAATAAGACCGATACGCTCCTCTTATGCGTTTTAGTAGTTTAGTCAATCTCCTAAATACCCCTACTTCAATTTACGATCTCATAACTAATTTACCGGCCTTTGCCGGTTATCCAGTTTGTTTAGGAGTTTCCTATCAAATTCGTTTCCTATTGTATATCGCCATAAGTTTCCTAAGTTTGATGAACTTAACTACACCTTCGTTGTCCTCATTCTTCCGCCATGGATTTCTGGAGTAGGTTTACGTCATAGCTGCCGCAGTTGTTCATTCGTTAGCAGAGTACGTTCACTTCGATTTTTTTCCTGCTTTCAAAATAGCTTCTTACGGCCATGATTTTGTTTTCGTTCGTCAATTGTTCTTCAATAGATGTTAAACTGAATTCGGATTTGCTTGGACTTTGTTTGGATTATATTTCAGTTGTATACATAAGCCAATGTATTTGCGGTCTGTTTTTATTCTTGAAGCTCTGTTTTCATATAGCAAACCTTTGATCTCTTCATCATCATATGATCGATTTGCAATTTCTTTTCATTATAATCAACATTTAGTTAATTAGTTTGTAGTTGCACTCTATTTTATTTCATTAAATTACATTGTTATGTTTTATTGATTGTTTAAAATTCTCTATGCTAGTTCCTCATAATTACCCCCCTTCAAACTTTCATTTAGTTTTTCCTAACTGTCATGTATGTGCAATTTTTAATTTCTCCATTTTATGTTTGTAGACTGTCAACATTATTTTGTAGCCTGTCTTATAAACTGTCAAATCTGGTAATAGAATTGTCATTTTCTTGTCTGAACTGTCAATATTGTCATACTGAAATCTTTGTTTCGGTTCATTTTTAGGATGCTTTTTACCACGATGGATGCTACTTTACTTGTTATGCTCAAGGTGGATGGCATTTGGGATTCTGACTACATGTTCAACAACGTCCACACATGTGGTCTTCGTGTTAACTACACTGTTCAATATGCTTCTTTTATTGACTCCTTGAGTGGCATTCTTTCACAGTACAAACCTAATTACAACTTCAGGATTTCTTATATGCGAGATGGCTGCCCTCCTCCTATTACTATAAATGATCAATCTAGTTTAACATTTTATCTTTATATTAAGTCTCTTCAACCAGATTTTCAAAAGTATCCACTTTGTGTTGAGTTTTATCCTATTTCATCTTCACCTCCATTTTCTATTGATGTTGAACCTTCTGAGAATCTTGTCATTGATTCACAGCAACATACCCCTTATGAGAGTGTTGTTGTTTCTTCTTCCCATGTTTCACAGAATGTTGTTTCTTCTTCTAATGTGTCACAGCAACATATCACTTATGCTAATGTTGTTTCTTCTGCCCAACAACTTGCCTCCTCACCTGCACTTTCTTTTGATGATGGTCCACCATTTGACCAATCTGAAAATGTTATCCCATCTGGGTTAAGTTCTGGCCAATCTGAAGATTTTGTTTCTTGTGGTAACACTGTGTCTGCAACTGTAGAAAATGATTCATCTGAGGATAGTGAAGACAATGATGACATTTTAGATGGGGTTTTAACTGAATCATCTGAGTCCTTGTCATTTCTGCAAAATTTTGAAGTCATCACACAGTCCCATCCTACTTGTCTTCTTCTTCATGCTATTTACAAAAATAAAAAAGACCTTATCCACCATCTGAAGATGTATGCTATCACAAACCACTTTCAATACAGAACTAAGACCTCGAAGAAAATATGTTTGCATGTTAAATGCTTAGATCCTGAATGTCGTTGGACTGTTCGAGCTGTAAAACTACACGGTGTAGCAATGTTTCAAATCAGAAGGTAACTTCAATTTTCCTTCTTCAATTAACTTCATTGTTCATTATACAGTAGTTTATAAGAATGCCATGTTCTGGTGTCATTCTTATACAGGACTGCCAACTTCATATTACTTACTTGTATAAAAATGCCATGTTTTTGTCACTTTAGATTCCGTCCAGAACACACATGCTCTATTGATTACAGACAAGGGAAACATAGACAGGCAACTGCTAGTGTAATAGCAAATCTTATTGCACACAAATACCTTGACGCTTCCAGTAAACCATACCCACCAAAGCAAATTCGTGAAGATATGCTTATGCAGTATGGAATTTCCATGTCATACAACAAAGCTTGGAAAGCACAGAAGAAAGCAATGCAGCTGGAATTTGGTTCTGATCTTGAATCCTATCAGGTTTTGCCTTCTATGGCTCATGTGCTAGACAAGGCGAATCCTGACTCTGTGTTTGATCTAGTCACAGGGCAGGATGGTGCATTTTGTACATTTTTTATGTCATTTAGTGCATGGATAAATGCTTGGCCCTACTGCAGACCTGTTCTTATATTGGATGGTTCTTTCCTGAAGGCTTACTATAAAGGCACTCTTCTGACAGCTTGTTGCCAAGATGCCAATGATCACATCGTTCCTATTGCATTTGGAATTTGTGCTTCTGAAACGAAATCATCCTGGAAATGGTTTTTATCCAAAGTCTGTCAGTCCATAAAGTACAGACATGACTTGTATGTAGTATCTGATAGGCATAAAGGACTTATAAAGGCTGTTTCTGAAATCTTGCCACATGCTAGCCACGGTTTTTGTGTTGCTCATCTGCGACGTAACATGATACCTAAATTCAAAGGTTCTGCAGCTGGATTGGGATGGAAGTTTAAAGCTGCCTATATGGCAGCAACTCTTAAAGAGTATGAGGACTACTTATCGATGTTGGATTCTGAAGATCCCCGGATAAGGACATGGCTAGAGAAACTAGGTCCTAACACATGGTCAAAAGTAATGTCTGGGCCAAAGAGATATAATATTATGACATCCAATTGTGCTGAATCTATGAACAATGTCAATGTCTGTGCAAGAGAATATTAAGTATCTAAACTTGTTGACTTCTTGCGTGAAAGGATGCAGCAATGGTTCACAGAGAGGAAAGAAAAAGCTGAGAAAACAAGTACTATACTCACACGGAAGTGTGAGAAACGTCTTTTAGCTTTGCAAGCTGAAGCTACACGCATGAGGGTATGTCAAAGCTGATTCTTTTACCATAAGTCAGTTCTCAGTTTTTTATGTGCTTATATAATTCCAGTTTGGTTCCATAAATCAGTTCTCAGTTTTTTATGTGCTTATGTAATTCCAGTTTGGTTGTCATTATGTCATTTGGTTCTAGAATCTGTCAGTTTTTTATTCCAGTTTGGTTATCGTTATGTCATTTGGTTCTATTATCTGTCAGTTTTTTATTCCAGTTTGGTTATCATTATATCATTTGGTTCTATTATCTGTCAGTTTTTTATTCATATTTTGTGTATTTCCTAGGTAAAACCATCATGTGCATATGAATTTCAAGTTGTTGATAGCAGATGCACGTCCTTTGTGGTCAATCTCAACTCTAGGAGTTGTACTTGCGGTCACTTTCAACTAGATCAGTTCGTCTGTGTTCATGCGGTTGCTGCAATTGCTATACGTCCACATCTGTCATGCTATACTTACATTTCTCCTTATTACACTAGAGATGCTTGGCTTGCTACATGGTCTGGTATTATGCATCCTATTGCAGATAGAAACAGTTGGTCCATTCCTGCTACTATTCAAAACCAACGATGCAAGCCACCAACTTGTATGAAGCGCCCTCCTGGTCGCCCGAAGAAATCCAGGATTCCATCCATGGGAGAATATAGAGGTTCAAAAAGACAAAGATGTTCTAGATGTCATGTGGTTGGGCATAATAAGAAAACTTGTAGGAATCCCATTCCAATCAATACCCAGTGATGTCATGGCTACTTCATTCTATTTTGTTTTTTGTTATTTTGTACTTGTAACTACTCTGTTTGGACTTGGTTATCATTTCCTTGAATGTTTAAGGTTTTGTGATTTACCCATTCTTGGCATTTAAGTGTTTATTACTTTTACTTTAGCCAATTACTTTGCCCAAAATGTCATCTCAATAATGTAATGTCATTTTTTTTATAAGTAAATGACATATGTCAGATGTTATGACATTTGGTTTTCCAAAAATTGTCATGTTACTTGTCACTTCTTTGTCTGTTATTTGCTGCTTGTAAATTAAATTCAATGCTAGTATCGATCTATATGTAAATCATGTTGCATGTACATATAAAAAATTCTCTATATAAACTATCCACATTTTAAACATAATTCAATAAAATATATATCACTTTGGCCAAAATGGCATGTCAACATTGTGATATCATTTTGTTTATAGCTAAATGACAAATTTCAAACTCTACGTCATTTTGATTTCTACAAACTGTCATCTAAATGTCATTTCTGTGATTGCCATTTTACATTTTAATCATATGCAATCCAACTGACACAAGAATTTCTTCAGTTAGTAACAATGCATGCTTACATAAATATAAGTAGCATGTTGAATGCATTAACACAAGGCATCCACAATGTAAAAATCAAGGCATTTTTTGAACATAATTCAATAAAATGCATTTTCACAACCTCAATGAATGCAACCTCAATAAAATGCATTCTCAGAATGACATGTGATAGTGTCTAAAGCATATTTCATACATTCAAAACACAATGAAAGTTGTGTTCACCAAGTTTTCCATAACAAAGGTACTAGATGTGTAGATGTCATGAAATGATGTTAAAAGTACTAGTAAATATAACATAGTCTTCCAAAACAAACATAATTGTTTCGTTCTACAATCCCATTTCTTCATAGCTTCATTTCATTCTCTCTCTCGTTGTCTCCTCTCGCTATATAGCAGCAGTTCAGTTGTCATTTTTTCCCTAAACAAGGGTATTGCTTCAGGATATATGCCATCCATTTCCATCCCCACCATTAGAAATTCTGCCATCTTGAGCATGAAAATTCCACAGTTTCCCCTGATGCATAACAACAAAAGTTAAAAGAACTTTTTAAAATAAAATAGTATACTATTATACAATTTGTTTAAACAAATTTATATCTTCTTACCCATCATCTTGCTGTGGACATCCTTCTACAGGCTCAACTGCCAAAAACCTTTCACCCATAGGTTCCTCACCCATCTGTTCGTACACTTTGTGATAGTCCATTATTCTGGGCAGGAGGGCTGTTATGCTTCCGAAATAGGACCTGATATCCCTAAGTGAATCCCCTCTTCTGGCATTGGAATTGTAGACTCTTATCTTTCTTTGCTTGATATCTAGGACTAACAAAACCCAATGATTGCCGGTATTTAGAGGGAAGTACACATAGTCTGCTTTGCTCCAGTGTAGGCTGAAGTTGTTAGCACCTATTATGTCACGAACAATGTTTTCTTCTTCTGCTGACTTGTGGTATGTACAGTGCCCCTTTGATATATTGTCAAGCTCTCTCTTCAGTATTTGCAAGAAAAACGGCCCAGTTGTGGTGTACTTCTGTGCCAGTTTGTAATGCACCCTTTTCATGCCCAAATAGTACATTACTACCTCAACATGCTGTAAAAAATAAAATACAGATTTATCAATTACAAATTAAGTAAACTGCCTCTTAATGGCAATCTATACAAACACACATGTATATAAATGTACACTTGAGAGTTAGATTGACAAATATATAACATTTTTGCATGTACCTTGTCAGTGATCCATTCATGATTCATAAACATGTCATACAACCATGTTTTTGATTCAACTTTCATACAGTCTAGCAAGAACGGCTTCTGAATCATTTTGTCTTCATCCATTGTGTACCTTCTAGGATTTTTGCTTTTTTGAAACTTCTTCAACAATCCAACTTTGAGGTATTCTCTCACCCTCTCTATTTCATGATCTGGTGGGCTCTCTGTTGGATCTTCTGTGAAAGGTCCAACTACTTCCTTGAGTGGAGGCAGAAATTCATCATCAGCTCTTTTCTTACCCTTTTCTCTTTTCCTCCTCTTTGCTGAATGCTCAGATGGAGTGTACTTCACTGGTGACCTAGCAAAACGCTTTTGTTTGGGAAGATCCTCCTGTGACATTATAATGACACAAGATCACATAAATTACACAAGATGACAGTTTGTATAAAACAAAATGACATAAACTTTGAAATGTGTCATTTATCGATTAACTAAATGACATCACAATGTTGACATGCCATTTTGGCCAAAATAAAGTAATTAGACAGACTAAATAAATTGGAAAAACTTGTATAACTTATAAGAATAGTACAAAACATCTCTACAAAATAACGTGTATTAATACACTTAATGTCATAGTACAAAATAATAATAAAAATATAGGCATTATAATCAATTTTTAAACTATTTTCATGAACATATAGGTCATAAACATTGCCACTTAAATGTCATTTTTAACATGTGAAAAGGTCACTTGAATGTCATTTTACTGAGTTTTTGGTATTTACCTGGTCAGGCTTTACTATAATTGCTCTGCATGGATTAGAAGAATAGCTCTCAAAAGCCTTTTTTGCCACTTCATCTGCACTCTTGCACATCTCTAGGATAAACTGACTATTGTCCTGTGACCCCATACCCCAACCAGATTCAGCAGTGTCATTTTTATTTTCTTGTGCAGATAGTCCCTCCTCTTGCATTTTCACAGTGTCTTCTTTTTTTTTCTCACTACCTTGAGACTGAGTCAATATGTTAAACGTAGGCATGTCACAAGCTTCTTGTTCTTCTTCAGTGTTCTTCTCTTGCATTTCTTTTTCATTTTTGTCTACAGGAACACCACCAGCATTCTCAGTCTCTTCTTTAGAGTCCTCAGTCTTTGCATTAGCTTCCTTATTCACACCTGAATCGTCACTCTCAACATTTGCATCCTTTTTCTCTATACCAACATCCTCATTCTCTACAACACCATCCTTGTTGGTTAGATTCTCACCCTCATTCTGTACAACACCATCCTCAGTCTCCTCATGCATATCAACAACATCATCATCCTTCATCTCATGCTCCTCATCATTCTCAGAATCTTGCCCTGTCATGGCAAACCCATCATCTTCTTTTCCATTAACATTTTCTTCTTCTTCTTCTTTACTTTCTTCTTCATCGATATCACCCTTTGCACTTGCTATTGTAGGCTCACTCTTCTCAACACCCTTTTGACATTTTGTGGAGCATCAGAATGACATCTTTAATAAGAGCCTCTTGCTTTTGCTGAGTCTTCTTAATATTTTTCATTTCTGCCACTAATCTGGCAATCTCTTTGGCTTGTTTTCTCATGCTTTTTTTGAGACTCTTGCTGTCTTTGCTCATGAAAACTACATATTTCTCTCCATCACGTCCACCGTCAGTAGAATCATCACTCTCAGTCTCTTCTCCTTCAGTACTTTTTTGCTCACTTGAGTCATCATCACTCTCTTGCTCCACCCTAGCCTGCTTTCTTCTTTTAGAAGGTCCTTCTTGAGATTTGATTGCTTTACCAGTTCCCTTCCTTCCTTTTGTTGTTTTTCCTTTGCTTGCTCTGGGCTGCATCACCTTTTCTTTCCCTTTTGCTACAATAGTTTTTGGCTTTTCAGCATCAACTCGGCCAACATTGTTGATGACAAGGTGCATCACCTCCTCATTTATTTCATTTCCTTCTTCAATCATAGCAATCTCATCTGCAGTTGGTACAATCTGCATCCATTCAAACTAAACCAATAGACTATGTTAGTAAACAATGTGTGCACATAAACATTTAAAAATTTACATACCAATCAATAAAATACCTTATCATTCTTGAATATAATTTCAGAAAGCACCTCTAGTGTAGGTTTTTTTTAAATTCCCACTTTAGAGTCCTTGGCATGATGTGTTCAGTCCCATTCATGACCTTGCACAAACCAGCCTTTGCTAAACCAGGAAATGTTTCAAATGCCCACCACTGGAATGCCACCATGAAGCCAGGGAATGTCACTCGATCTCCTTTTCCTTTATCTAGTGCCTCACAACTCTGCTTCACCTTGTTAACTAAATCATCCCAAACGTCATCACCCCATGGATAAGCATTGAATGCATCCAAATCATTAACTAGGTTTATGTAGTATGCCTTCATTGGTCTAGCAGTTTGATTGCCAAACAAGCAATGTGACAGTATGTATAGCAGTGCCAGTTTCACTCCATCCTTTGTCAGTCTGCTCTCATTAGTGCTCTTGTAACTCTTCAATGCATTCTGAATATCTGCACGAGTCACAGTTGTCTTGGATCCTAAATAATTTGTCCATATATCTCCCTGAAGCTCCTTTGAAATATTTGGCTTCACAGCTCCAAACTTTAAAGCACACATTATTGCCAAATCATGCTTCTGAAAACTGATGACACTGTCTTTAATGTGAAACCTGATGACACTGTTATCTGTGTTTCCATTAACTTCAGTCACAAAGTTTCCAATCAATCCCAAAAGCAATTGTCCACTAAGCCAAGGCATGTCTTCTATTCTTAACATCCAACCAAAGACAGTATTGCTAAACTCTGTCAATTCCTCTTTGCTTAGATATGTCCTTATTTTCCTAAGAACCTCAGTAATATTGCAGTAGGAGTTGACACGCAAGTCTTCCAACATCACCAACACTGATTTCTTAAATGCTCTTGTTATTGTCTGTCAAGATTACACAAATATAGGCATTTTAATCACCATGTACAAAATGACTAATAGAAATCACACTGTAATACAAAATGCCACCAAATGAGCTCATAAAAACCAACTAAACTGTCATTAGTTCTCAATTTCTCAGTCAATGTGATGCTATTTTGGGTTCAACCTAACAGATATGCATACAATGTCACTATTTATGGCAGAATGTCATGATAATTTGCATATATATAAGGTTACAATGCCACTACATAACCACATATTCATGAAATGTCAATTTCATGCAAAATGCCACCAAATGACCTCATAAAAACTTACTAAACTGTCATTAGTGCACCAGTTCTCAATTTCTCAGTCAATGTGATGCTATTTTGGGTTCAACCTAACGGATATGCATACAATGTCACTATTTATGGTAGAATGTCATGATAGTTTGCATATACATAAGGTTACAATGTAGCTACATAACCACATATTCATGGAATGTCAATTTCATGCAAAATGGCACCAAATGACCTCATAAAAACTCACTAAACTGTCATTAGTGCACCAGTTCTCAATTTCTCAGTCAATGTGATGCTATTTTGGGTTCAGCCTAACGGATATGCATACAATGTCACTATTTATGGCAGAATGTCATGATAGTTTGCATATACATAAGGTTACAATGCCACTACATAACCACATATTCATGAAATGTCAATTTCATGCAAAATGCCACCACATGACCTCATAAAAACTTACTAAACTGTCATTAGTGCACCAGTTCTCAATTTCTCAGTCAATGTGATGCTATTTTGGGTTCAACATAAAGGATATGCATACAATGTCACTATTTATGACAGAATGTCATGATAGTTTGCATATACATAAGGTTACAATGTAGCTACATAATCACATATTCATGGAATGTCAATTTCATGCAAAATGGCACCAAATGACCTCATTAAAACTCACTAAACTGTCATTAGTGCACCAGTTCTCAATTTCTCAGTCAATGTGATGCTATTTTGGGTTCAGCCTAACGGATATGCATACAATGTCACTATTTATGGCAGAATGTCATGATAGTTTGCATATACATAAGGTTATAATGCCACTACATAACCACATATTCATGGAATGTCAATTTCATTCAAAATGCCACCAAATGATTTAACAAAAACTCAGTAAACTGTTACTATCTAACAACATTGTCATGTTATCAGATGTTACTAAACATGTCATTCACTTTACTCCAAATGCAGTAGTATTCATCATACGAGATTTGTTTCAAACTCCTATTTACACTCATCAAATTAAAAAATATTTTCATTCATCAAATTTGCTTCGAACTCCTTTAACTGCCAAACAACATTCAATTTCAGGCATTCTGATAAGAAAGGAGTACGTACCATTTCGGAATTGATTCTGATGCGAACTGTATTCGACAAATCCAACGGTTTCTCCTCCATGGTTTCGTCCTTCAACCGTGCTCAACCAAGCGACTCTCCTCAACAAACTTACTCTCCAGAACGTTTTTAGAGTGATTTTTGAATTGTAATGCAGTTAGCGTAGACTGACTGGCTCGTTCAAACGGTAAGACTTCCGATAAACTTCATTTAATTTGTGGAATCTTTTTTTCGGCGGCAATGATGGTGGAAACTTGGAAACCGGGAATTGCCGTAATGGGAGATGGTTAACCGTCAATGAGCTCAGGGTACGTGTATCGGTCGGTTAGGAAGGTCATTTTTGGCATTTTACCGCATAATTAGTCCTACGCGCTTAAGTGGAAACGTGGGTGTCCTACTTTTGCAATTTCTATAAGGTTTAGTCTTATTTGTGTAATTTTCTCTAATCTTTAATTTAAGTTAACATCATAGTGACCGACTTGCCGTAATGATATATATACTTGTAATAATTTTAGTCACATTTTTATCCATAAATTCTACTAGTAATAGAGTAATATTTTAGGAAACCCTCTTATATATAGAAATGCATTGTATTTTACGTGTAACTATGTACTAATACTTCAATAACTTATTAAAATATACATGTAGATTATTTTTACCATTGAATATTATAAAGCTAAACATATGAAAATATAAATTTACACACACACATACTACGTACTACCTCCGTCCCAGGGAGAAGTTCCCAATTTCCTTTTTTGGCAGTCCCAACAAGAAGTTCCCATTTCCCTAAATGGAAAGTTATTCTACATCAAAACAGTGCCAAACAGTGCTAAACAGTGCAAAACAGTGTCGAAACAGTGCCAAACAGTGTCGAAACAGTGCCAAACAGTAAAATTTACCCCCCAGTAACTTTATTTCCTTAATATGTGTGAAAGTCAATCCGGAAACTTCTCCCTGGGACGGAGGGAGTATATAATATGACAAAATACTTACAAATATATCTTTATATTTTTTATTTATGCGTTTCCCCTACATACAAAATCATGTGTTTTTTGAAAATAGTGTTTCCCATTTGTCATTATTTGTTTTAAATATTGTGCTACTTAGCGCTACACGCACTACAAAAAAACACGCGTGTAGTCACGGACCGTAGTCACGGATTTGGTCCGTGACTAGTTTAGTCACGGACTAGTCACGGAAATTTTTAAAAAAAAATTGTCACGGCTTGGACCGTGACTATGGCCGTGACTACAATTAGTCACGGTCGTGGTCTGTGACTAAAATCCTCCGATAGGCCCGTTTGATTTTCCGGCCTGGCTTGTTTTACTCCGGCGACTTAGAAGCTGTTCCGTTCGTCTTAATCTTATTACTTATTCCTTAATCTTATTTTATTCAGATCAGATCAGATCAGATCAGAAAGATTCAGATCAGATCAGATCAGATCAGAAAGATTCAGATCAGATCAGATCAGAAACATTCAGATCAGATCAGAAAGATTCAGATCAGATCAGCAACATTCAGATCAGATCAGAAAGATTCAGACCAGATCAGACCAGATCAGAAACATTCAGATCAGATCAGATCAGATCAAAAAATTCAAACATGATTTATCACTTTTATTAATATATTAATTATGATTACTATATTATAATTATTGTTTATAATGTTAATATATTAATATAATATTATTATTAATAATATAATAATAATAATGTTAATAATATAAAATTATTATTATAATATAATATAATATAATATAATATAATATAATATAATATAATATAATATAATATAATATAATATAATATAATATAATATAATATAATATAATATAATATAATATAATATAATATAATATAATATAATATAATATAATATAATATAATATAATATAATATAATATAATATAATATAATATAATATAATATAATATAATATAATATAATATAATATAATATAATATAATATAATATAATATAATATAATATAATATAATATATTTATAATTATAATTATAATTATGATTTACAATGTAATTATAATTATAATCATCATTATTATTAATATGATTGTTGTTCTTGTTGTTATTGTTGTAATTATTATTACTTCGGAGTAATTATATATTTAAATTAGTAATTATAGATATAATTATGATTATAGAAATAAATATTATAATTATAATTACAATAATAATTATAAAACTAATCATAATTAAAAATATAATTACATTTATAATTGTATCTGTACTTATAATTAGTGTAATTAGTATAATTATTATAATTTTAAATTTAATTTTAATTATTATTTTTTTATAATTATGATTATAATTGTAATTTTATTTAAGTTATATTTTTAATTACAATTATAAATCTAATAATTATAATTATAATTACAATTATAGAAATATTCAAATCAGATCAGAAAGATTCAGATCAGAAGAATTCAGATCAGATCAGAAACTTTCAGATCAGATCAGAAACATTCAGATCAGATCAAATCAGATCAGCAACATTCAGATCAGTTCAGCAACATTCAGATCAGATCAGAAAGATTCAGATCAGATCAGAAAGATTCAGATCAGATCAGAAAGATTCAGATCAGATCAGATCAGAAAAATTCAGATCAGATCAGATCAGAACTTAAAAAATTCAGATCAGAAACATTCAGATCAGGTGAACGGAACAGCTTCTTAGTCACGGCCACATCCGTGACTAAAGCCGTGACTATGATTAAAATTTAATTTTCCATCTCCCATAAATTAATTCGCAATGGTATTATGTACGGATAAATTTAGTCACGGCCATGTCCGTGACTATTTCCGTGACTACTTTGATTAACACGTCATTTACACGTCATTAACACGGGTTGGACGCGTAATGGACACGGTTTTGCTTAGTGACGGACAAATCCGTGACTAAGTCCGTGACTAAATTTTTTATATATGCAGGAGCAGCTCATTCAACAGAACCACACCAATTCATTCCCAGTATATACAGTATCTATTTGAAAGATCGAATGATGTAGTCTATCTTCTATCATTTTCCCTGTTTATGCAGATAAGGTATGTTATTTGAATTATTATTTTTATTTAGAATTAGTTGGTTCAATTTAAATTATTAAAACTATTAAATTAGTGAGGTTGTTAATTAATTAACAACATATTTAACTATAAGCGTAGTAATGTCATAAATTAAAATTAGTTAAACTTTTAGGTTTATAAAATAATTTAATTAAAATTAATTAGCTAAATCTAGTTTAAAACGTAATGATGTTTATGTTAAGTGAAATTAGTTAGTTAAACGTACGTTAGTAATGTGTTAATTAAGTGAATTGTGAATTGTTATTGTGAATTGTGTATTGTTTATTAATTCAAATGACTTTATATACATGTTCAAATTATTGAATTGAATTTGGTCATATTATTTAATTTAGTGAATTGTTAATTGTGTATTACTAATAAGATTAAATGTCATTAACGTAATAATTTAGTGTAGGTTTAAACGTAGGTTTACAAAAATAATTTAATTAAAATTCGTTAGCTAAACGTAGGTTTGAACGTAGCTAGTGATGTGTTAATTAAGTTAAATTAGTTAGCTAAACGTAGGTTTAAACGTAGTGATGCATTAAAAGGGGACGGAATCAACTAGTTAAATTTAGTTAAATTTAACTAAATGAATTAGTTAAATTTAGTTAAACGTATGTTTAATTTAAATGTAGTGTTAATAAATTACTTAAATTTTTTATAATATTAGTTAAATTTAAGTATTAGGTAATTACTTATATTTTGTGCATTATTGTTGTGAATTGTGTGCATTTCATTTAATTTAGTGAAAATTAGTTGATTATTTAGTGAAATAAATTACTTAAAATTGTGTGCATTGCATTTCATATAATTTTT